ACAACGCGTGTACCATTAGTTTCCCCACGCACATACGTGTTTTTACGATTGAGCCAGAAGTTGTAGTTCCTAATTGCAAAATGTGGTCCAATTGATACTCATATCAAATTTTTTGACAATGTAGCAGTTGTCTCGCGTGTAAACGACTCCTTCTGAATGAGATTGAGGCTCCTGAATTTCGAATCACTCGGTTTATTTTTCTCCACTCGTTTGAAGAGGCAATTACCTCTACGAGTCGATTAAGGAGGCATAAAAGTTCATTCACAAATCTGATAATCCGGCTCGTTCACGCTAATCGTCAATTGCTCGACTCACACTTGTTTCGGCGAAGGGGAGAGGAAATTAGGTCATTCTCGAGTACGAAATGGGCCGGACGTATATGAGGCCAAGTTTACAGATTTATCTGGAAGTCACTATCAAGGCAAAACCGCGATTTCTTTCCATTTTAATGCTTGGAAAAATTTCAGATTTACACGTCACCGTTTCCTAGCGTAACATCCAGAATACTGTGTTCAAAAACGACACAAATAAAGGAAGAGTCAACGTGGTGCCCAAATAATTTAAATGTTTGGCACCTTTGTGGATTACATTTTGCAATAAGGAACCATTATCTCTGACTCTTCTATAAAAGCACATTTCTGCATAGGGAAAACAGTGGCATATATGCTGCTTCTAAAACGAGCCAGAAATGGTGGTTCCTTAATGCAAAATGTGATCAAAGTGTTATATGGACAATCCCCCCCCCCTTTCCCTTCTCGAAGTTGAGTTTTAGCGGAAAACGAAAAAAATAATTGGGTAGGTACTAATAATAGCTTGCAAGTTGTTTAGGAATTTTTATTCGACGCACAGAGGGAAAAATTACTCCAGTTCAGATTGTATACCGAACTATTTGGTCATGAAAATCGAACTTCAGTCAAGTAGCTTAATTATCTGTCAGGCAAAGTAAGACTTTGAGTTTTTTTTTTGCCTGGTCCATGTAACTAAAAAAGCTTTTTAAAGTTCTTCTATCCCCGATTTTTCAGAAATTAATTTTGGAGTTATAATGAGTTATACAATGATGACGCAATATCTTCTGATTTAACTGAAACTTTTTGCGCATGTGTGTGTTGATGACATGCTTCCAATGTCATCAACGTTTTACCATGAGCTTCCTCTGAGACCGACATCGCTTCAAAAACTGGAGGAGATAAACCCGAATAGTTCACTTTTCGCACTCAAAAGAGCCACCGGGTTTACATTGTAGGTGTAGGAACGAATTTTTAATATCGAGGGAGACTGACAGCCGTCGTTTTATCAGAGGAATAAATCGTTGTGGCAGCCGCATGACGTCACTTTTGATGATTCAAATGAACCACGTTTTACCGTCATGTCAGTGTACAATCAATCACTCACGGAAGTCACCGATGACCACTAAAACAGCGAAGGTTGCAGCATTTTGACAAGTTACTAAATGATGCGTGTGTGACAGATAAAAATGTTGGGTAACTGCCTCATTGATTGCATGATCCTAGCCTTTACTTAAAACAACATTTGATTTAATTTTTTTGAAACTCTCTCATTGAAAATAATAATATCCATAATTACAAAAACGAACCTATCCTCAGAATACAAAGCCTTAAAATATAGAAAATCTTATAGAAAGCCAACAAAAAATCGAGGGCACGCTGCAGCGCTGTGGCCTTTTTAACCACAGGTCGGTCCTGAACCGAGGAGTTTTTACGGATCAATGCCCCCCTCCCCCCTCCCCGAGGGAGATTTAAAAGAGCACCTACGCACTTGCGGAAAGGCTCGTCTTAAAGTATAATATTAGAAAATAACGAAGAATTGATTTCATGAATTAAAATTTGGCCTTCCTCTTAGAAAGAAAAAAAAATTCTACGACAAATGTTGTCTGTACATCGAAGAAAAACATTTTCAGTGAAAATATGTATAGAGATAGGTATAAAATACATAAATTGATGAGTTTTTGAAAACAAATTGAAAAGTGAAATCATAATACATTCAAAAATACAACTCTCACGATAGAATACTTCGGAAATAGCTGTAAGATTTCTGTTCGCTTATCATTTTTTTCAGAGAATATCTTCATCAATGTTTTCTTCAATATATATACAATAAAATAAATTTAGCAGCAATTAACTAGCTCGGTGAATACAAGATGGTTTATTACTTTTCACTTTCAAGGAAAGAAAAACTATTGGCGAATATTTCTTTTGTCTAAAATCTGAATTCTGACACTACAATATTTGAGTTTTTGCAGAAGCTGGCAGTCTCATTGGTGCTCTTTTTAACTTGTAAATTGTATGCAGAATTTGTCATTCCGAAAAAGCGGCTCCAGCTATATTTCAGAATTATATTGGCTCTCCCCATAAAATTTCTCACGTGCTAGGGCTGACTCAAAGTCGTTCCAACGTTTGCATTTGAATTGACTCGGGATTTTCCCCTTTTTTCAAAGGTCGTTTCGCTTCAAGTCAGGTCAAGTTAATTTCAGTTGAAATAAGTTTATGAATATTGATTTGAGAAAGTCAACACAATTTTTTACTAGCTTGATTTCTCGAGGAAGTACTATTTTTTTCATCGTTTTGTTCTTTTTCTTAAAATTACTGGAAACGCCTAACTTTAGCCCCCTGAAATTCTTACCCGGATCCAAAGAGGCTCGTCCTCAGTTTTTGAACGTGTGGATTCGTATCTGTTACATTTTAGAGGTTAATTCTGAAAATAAAGAATCTTCTACTTTGAGCCAACAATGCAATGGGCAATTAAAGTGCGTTTTCAAATTTACGATTGTGCTAAATCTACCGATGATACGTTATTTCTGTGAGTCGTTCCCGAAGTCTTCATGCGAAGAATCTATTCGTGGACAACATTCTCACGAATAACATGAGATTTAACGAATAATAGTCACCCGTTAATAAATGATTAGGGAGAATTGAAAGGCATTCTTTAAGTGGATTATTATGCAATTGTTATGTACAGCTGATTTTCGTTTGTGTGTTTACCATTGCATCAGCATTCAAATCAATTCAAATCACGTGAGTAAATAGAGAAATATTTGCGCAAAAAAACACTAGTGAGGAAAATAATGGGGGGAGGAAAGAACCGAGACTCGAATTCGATTGAAAAAATGAAAACAAAGTGTCTGACGATATTTTGTAATTTGTTTTTTTTTAAGCATAATTATTTGATCTTATTTTTTTGCAGTTTCAAGTTTTAAGGCCCGACCTCTCTGTGCATGAGGGCACGCGTAGACAGACAGTGCATTTATTTTTGGAATTAAATATTTCGCAAAGGGAAAACTCATCAAGTAACTCAAGCAGTGGCGAGGTGTGAATGATCGATTATCGATATTTCCTTATTTGAAGCTATGGTAAAGACTCGATAATTAAGGAGTTCGACGCGAACACCGTGTTTATCGATCCTTTTCCACAGGATAAATGACAGATCAATCGACATATCGAAAATCACGCCACCCCACTGAACTTAAATTCTCTTGATGACTTATTTTTTTCTTATCATTCCTGACATTTCTAGTCTTCGATCCCTCTGTCATTACAATCGAGGTATCGGTAAACTTTATTTATATTACAGGAAAATCCTTTCTCCCGAGAGTCGGAACTGAATATATTAGCATGTTTCCACGGTTCAACTCTGAAATCTTAAGTGCTATTGTCCAAGACGTGAAAAAAGGAAGTTGATAAAAAATTAATCCTCAAGAGCCTTCAGATTACCTCATGTTCACTTGTATCTTGGAAGGGGTCTGTTCATTAGGATTCATCTTTAAAGTTTCGGAGTGTAAACTTAGTGTCTCCAAAGCCCCTGCTCCCTATCCGTCTAACTGCACGAACTCATCGGGGCGTAGACAGAAATTTTATTCTAAATGCCCTTGCGCGCATTAATTAAATAAAATTAAAAACCAGAGTTGACTTCAATATCCTCATAATGAATTCTAGACTTCATTTCCCTCAAACTCTGGAGACTTTTAAAGAGTGAGGTAAAGAAAGGGAAATCGTTTTTATAAGAGGAGCTATTGGGCTGTATTTTAAAATAGTAAATGAATAAAGTATTCCTTTCGGAGGTGGAGCGCAGGAAAGCAGAGATAAAGAAAAAATAGAGATGAATTCTAAGTACCACAGATTTGCAAAATCAACAGTATACGAGTTTATTTTGAACACTAATCATTTCTCTGATGGTATGATTTCATATCGGATTTCATGGGTAGATGCAATAGCAAAGATTTTCTGAAGGATACCTTCTGGCCACTTGAGAAGGAAAAAGAGGGTTCAATGGCTGAATTTCAGCACAAATAAGGGAGTTGACTTAATTTTAACTTCGTTCGGTGGCAAAGCAAATTTAGAGTCTTCGGCAGGAATTATGAAATAAGAATAATCTTGTAAATTGTATCAATCAACGAATAATCTTCAGCACTAATGACGGATCGTTTCACGTCTGAGGTACTACTACCATAATGTAAACAAAAGGAGATAGCTCATTTTAAAATCGAAAAGAAAAATAGTTTATTTCCTGTAGAAAATACACTGAAAAGAGGAGAGGAGGGGGCTTAAATTCCGTAACTCTAAAACCCAAAATTAAAAAAAAAAAGATATAAGTATTGCACTGAACACGGTCAAACGCAAGGAAAGTAAAAATAAGACAAATGTTGTATCTAGCTCGACTAAAAATTTATAGAATTTCGTTGCTTTATGGTTAGAAACAGGTACCTATCATGTGTGTTATTAGACATTCGAATCATTTAAAATAAGCGCAAAATTCAATAAGCTCTAAACCTGCAACTCTGTAAGACCCTTTCCGGTAACTTTGAGATGCTTGGCGCTGCGGGTAAAGTGATAAAGAGAGGGCATAAAGGGATTTGCCCCCTTTCGAAGATGAATAGAAACTGATAAAAATAGAAAAGAACAACAATACCAATAAAAATTTACGAATGTACAAGAAAAAAATTGAATGCTGATAAGGGTTACAGCATCTGAAAGTGAACGACTCACCATTGGTTAGGCATTAATGTAATCCAAAGTAATCCAAATGTATGAGATGGTTAATCCAGAATATGGTAAAAGTTGAAGCACCACACCACTTAGTTTTCTTTACAAGTATTTTTGTCAGATCGATCACCAAACACCTCACGTGAGATAAGTTAAATAATATAAAGACACTTGGAGAATTCGAGTACTTTTTAAATGCTTTAAAAACTAATGGTAACTATACGAGACGGTAAAATTCGTCAAAAACGAAGCGGGATCGTTTCACAGGGGATTCCTCCGTGGCGCAGGTTCAGGGCGCGGAAGATCGGAATAAATGCACGTTAAAATGAATAAGGCACTTGTTAAAATTCAGCTCGAAGACGCAGTAAGTATCCAAACGCGACGAGTATATCCAAAGGCACCTGTTTTTGAGCCGGTGATCACAAAGTACGATTTGATTCGCGGACTCGAAACGACGAAGCACCGAAAAGGCAGGGGGCTTAAGATTATTGGTAACTTGGGGCGGCGGAAAAATGATTCCGGCGAGATTTTCCGCGGAACGGAACACAACTCACGGACGAGGGAAGACGAACGCGAAAAAAATCGAACGGCACTCGCGAATTAGGCAGTGGGAAGGAATTATCACAGAACAAAATAATTTTTAGAAAAGGGCAATCACACTTTCTTTTAAAAAAATTGGTAACTAAAGGGTTTAAGGGGCGAAAACCACACAGGTAAGGTGGGGGTGGAGAATTTTCGATTTCTGTGAAGAAAAAACCGAAGAAAAAATTAAAGCACTGAAACACAACACAGACACTATGTATCAGGTGAGGTTTGAAGTCAAGGGGAGGCGATGAGGGTGCATGGCAGTCGGCTCGAGGGGTGGATCGGAAGGGGTTGAACGGAGCGCGGACCGGGACCACGAAAATGTGACAACAGGCGGAACTTCGAGTGCGAAATGGTGAGGGTTTCGGCCGGGACAGAGCGTCTCCGACATGACAGAGCGACTTTCACTCGATGAGAGGAGCAAGTGGCGATGCCGACTGAGGACGCGCCGCGACCGAGCGCCCGAGCGCCCGCCCGCCGCCGCCCCGCCCGGCAACGCCGCCTCCCGCCACCGGGCGCCGCGACGCCCGCCGACCACGACCGACGACGCCCGGCCGCCCGAGCCAGCAGCGCCGCGACGCCCCCCGCCCCCCGCGCCCGCCCCGGCCAAGGGACGTTACCTTGTCCCGGGTCAAAATCGCCCAACATTGCAGTCGGCTAATTCGTCGCTAGTTCCTTCAGCTCAATCAGAAAATTTGAATTTCCTCCCCCCTTCCTCCTCCCTATTTTCTTTTTCCTTCTTTTCTTCCTCAACTGCTTCTTCCCTTAATTCTCTCCCTGTTACTCTGTCCGGGGTCAAAATCGCCCAAAATTGCAATCAGCTAATACGTCGCTAGTTATTTCAGCTCAATCAGAAAATTTGAATTTCTTCCTCCTCCCTATTTTCTTTTTCCTTCTTTCCTTCCTCAACTGCTTCTTCCCTTAATTCTCTCCCTGTTACTCTGTCCGGGGTCAAAATCGCCCAAAATTGCAATCAGCTAATACGTCGCTCAGAAAATTTGAATTTTCTCCCCCTTCCTCTTTTCTTTCTCCTTCTTCTCTCCCTCTTCCTTCCACCTCGTCCCGTTCTTCGTATCCTATCGCTGACTCATTTCTTCATCTAGGAAGATGAAGAGAGATCTAGAAGAGAGAGGACTCTCTTCTCCTCTCCTTCCCATCCTCTTTCCATCTTCTCCTTCATTATCCTCTTATCTCTCTATTTTATCCGATTTTCCCTTTCCTGCTCCGTCTGCTCTTCTTTTTCCCCTTCTTCCACCTTAAATTTCGATCATTACGATGCAATCTCCCAGCAATCAGGGTTGAACCCTTTAGAAATTGCCTCCCCTCCCTTCTCTTTTTTTCTTCTTTTCATTTCTCTATTACCTCTCCTCCCTCTTTTCTCCATACTTCTTCTGCCTCTATCTCCTGTTCCTTATTTTTTATTGCTGCCTCTTCTTTCTCCCGCTCCTTTTCTTTTCAGAGGCGTATTAAAACATTTAGATCGAAGGGGATGGAAGGAGGTCCACGGGGCTTCCCTTAGAAAATTTTTGAAATTTTGAAGCATCAGTGATCAATTTGAGTCAATTTCGTCAGGAATGATTGCCAAATATGAGCACCCTTCCTTCATCTTCTTCCGTTTCTATCCTCCTTTTTATTTCCTCCTTTTTATTTCCTCCTTTTTTCGGTCAAATGCGCCCCCTACAGTCTCCCTTGTATCCGTCCATGATCATTGGGGTTGCAGGTAACGTATTAGGAACACGGAGCGGAAATTTTGTTTGTGGTGCAGCTTCCTGCATTCAATTGTCCTTCATTCGAGAGGGTAGGCAATATGCGCTCTCAAGAGTTTGAATAGTGGTATGTTGCTCCGGAGGGGATACTACTTGGAATATTAAATATTTTCTCTCAACCTATGATAGGAAAGCGACTCTCCCTTGCATGGCCGAATTTACCTACTTGCCGCCCATGGGCCGCCTATTTTTTTGCCGCCCTCTTCTCATTCAATTTGAAACATCAATAAAAACCACCAAGTGAACGTGCCGGAGGGAGAAGGGTGCATAAGACGCGTTCACTTACGTTGGACCCATTTTTTGCGTAAGCCCTGTCAACACTACTAGCAAAAATTCACGGAACTGCGCGCGAAAGCTCAGTTCCGTAAACATATCTCTGTGGGGACAAGGCCTTTCATTTGGACGTATTTCTATCAAACGGAACTATGTGCATTGAGACATGAGCCCTGAGACCCATAAGAATAGGTGCATATCAGGGCTCACGTCATTATGCACATAGTTCCGTTTGATAGAAATACGTCCATTTGTAAGAAATGAACTAAAAAATTAAGGAAGAACAAACATAAATATGGTTTAATAATTTTAACTTCCGCCGCCACGCCGGCCGTGCCGCGCTGACCACACTGTGTTTGGCGCAATGCGTGAAGTATTCATGTAGTCTTGTAGGTACTGTGCGTTTCACGCCGCGCCGACCGACCGCTGTTGACCGTGCTGTGTTTGACGCAATGCGTGAAGTATTCATGCAGTCTCGTAGGCGCTAATATGTGTTACATGCCGACCGCCGCGTCGAGGGCTTCTCATTTTCATCTCAAGTCCTCGTCATCATTTCTCTTTGCGCCGCGCCACTCCAGGCCAAATTACGTGTTTGGTTTCTCTCTTAACTCAACTAATTAAAGGTGTGCAATCACCGAAATACGACAAAATTAGAAATTAATAAACTCTCAGGGAATGAGAGATTTTGTCACCTTTTCTTGCTTGTAATTTTTTTCTGAGTCCGATTTTTTTGTACCTGCATTAAAAAAAATTGCAAAATTCGCCGCCCCCTAATTTTGCCGCCATGGGCCGCGGCCCATGTGGCCACCCCCTTAATCCGGCCGTACTCCCTTGAAATGTAAAAATAAAAGCGGCGTAGCGAATAAGGACTGAAGAAGGATTGGCTACTTCAGATTTTGAAATAGACCATCAAGAACTCGGAACCCGTGGCCGTCAGCCACAAATAATTCAACTAACGTGTTTAAACTGTCTATCCCTAAACGAAAGGAATTTGTAGATTTGAATGAGAACCAAGGTGTTGATTGAAAATTTATCAACTACTGAGGCACCTTTCGAAAGGAATTCACATTGAGATGCCCATTTTAAAGCACGGTCCATGGCACTGACAATGAGTGTTTTCGCCTTCATTGGGATGTTTAGGCCAACATGGATCCCAGGCGTTAAAATAGATGCATTCCTAGAAATCGACGCATGTGCCTCATATCAGAAAAAAAACCACCAACGACCGTTCGAAAAACTAACGACCAATAATTTATCCTTCGTAGTTCTAAAATAGCTGCGGCATACCAATGAGAATCCAAATTTACGAAATGAAGCATTTGAATAGGCAGGTTTTTTCGTGACAGTACAGTATGTGCAGAAGAAAAATGCAAAGTGTTGATTGAAATTACGGGGTTTTGCCGTGGACGGCAGCAGACAAGATGCACCCTTGGACGTTGATGTGCTCCATGTTTTTGCGAGTCGATTTCAACATTGATTCAATGTTCAGTTCTTGAATGTTTTACGGTCAAAAGTTTCATCCAAAAGTTCCGAGATGCTTTGCTGTCAGAAATGAGCTTAAAAACCCCGCTTTACAGTTGAATTTACAAGAAAAAGTACAATTGATATTCTTCCCTTGGCTACCTCTTTGTGATGACTACTAATAACTGACTTGTGCCATTGAAGCGCTTTTCACGTATCGATGCAAAATTCTCGGTTGCATAATAATTTATGCTCGTAATCTCTCTGGGTGTTCACACATATCTCCCACTTAGAAGACGATGGCTGAAATCGGTATTGCCACGCTAGAGAGAAAATTCAGTGAAATTTCTGTAACACGGAATTTTATCATCCACTGAAAACTGAGGGATTTTGCCACCGTAATAGTCGTACTTACTTAAATCTGCTGAATTTTAAGAAACTCGGATTTTTGAATGAATTGAATCAAGGCATACGGAGGAATAACATAACCAATTCAACTTGAAAAATTCTTCTTAATTAAGTTTAAGTTTATGTATTGGCAAAATATCGAAAATGGAACATTAGACAAGGTCTTAACGGTAAAACTTCAGGTCAAGTAAAAAATTTGTATCTTGTTTGAGAGACCGCACATCGTGTGATTAGTTTTTCTCGTGAAATTTTTAATAGAGCACGTGACGCGAAGTGATTTAAACTTTATCTTGTCTATGGACTTAAGTCGCGAATTTTCCACCTTAATTTACGCGGCTAGAACTGATTATATGTTTGAATAATAGCAAAGTATAGTTCTAATAAAAATGATAATTATAAACTCATTTTCTTTGGCCTGTGGCCGGTCAGTAATACTTATACCGGAAGTGTTCCCTCTTCCGAGTTAAAAAAAAATAAATAAATAAATAAACCTCATTTTAGCCATACGAAAACTATATCTGATTAAATTGTGATAGGACCAAGCGGATCGCATTTAGCAAAAAGGAACCAGCACGGTTACAGTGTTTTCAAAATCGTGCAAATTCTTCTTTCCTTTTAAAAATAATGTATGGAAATTATTAAAATTCACACAATTATTTTCCTTTGAATTAACAATTTTTTGTTGGGAAGCAAAAAATAATTGCTACTCTGAGAGATTTTTTAGATAATTATGAAGAAGCAACATTTTTACAACACTATAATAGTGTAGGATCCTTTTTGCTAAATGCGATCGAAGTAATTAAAATCCCTCAGATTAGTGAAGTTATTTATCGACCCAAATTATTTCACTTTTTCCAGGTATTTTAAGATATTTGGGGCGAAACACTGCTTTGATTTTGAGAATCTCGGTGGGGAGAGTTCGTTGCATGGGCCTGTAGGCACGCCAAATTATTCTCAATCAAGAGTATCGGAAGCAAAAGCAGTGTTTTACCCTAAACATCTTTAAATGCCTGGGAAAAGTGCTATGTAAAATATTGGAAAAAGAGTATGCAGCTATAAAGTAAAGTTACTCTCAGCTTTGCTAGAGTTAGCGTATTTTACAAAGGTATATGCAGGGCCGCATTAAGGGGGTGGCCACAATGGCCGCGGCCCATGGCGGCAAATTTAGGGAGCAGCAAATTTTGCAATTTTTTTAAATGTAGCCATGAAGAAAATTCAGATTCAGACAAAAAAATTACGAACGAGAAAAGGTGACAAAATCTCTCATTTCTGAGAGTATATCTCTAATTTTGTCGTCCTTCTGTGATACAATAGACAGCACCTTTAATTAGTCGAGTTAAGACTAAGAGAGAAACCGAACACGGAATTTGGCCTGGAACGGCGCGGCGCAGAGAGCAATGATGACGAGAACTTGAGATGAAAAGGAGAGACCCTCGGCGCGGCGTGGCGGTCGGCATGCAACACATATTATCGCCTACAAGACTTCATGAATACTTCACGCATTGCGCCAAAGATAT